CGCTGTCATTATCTCCACGGACGGGTGGGCCCCGGGAGGTCATGGCAAGGCCACGCCACTCAGCAGCCCCCACTGTCCCTCGACTGCATCCTGCCATGTGGGTCCCCGCTCGGGGCCACACGGGTCCCTCCCGATCAGTGCAGCATGTTAGGTGCACAGCTGGCCATGGACGCCCCTCATCGGCACGCATCCCACCGTTTCCCTCAGACCATAGTGCAGATCACGGGCCAGGTCCATTTCATTTCTGATTGAGCAGATGGTGCCGCGTGGACGGGTGCTGCACAAGACACGCTCTGGCACGCCCATCATGTCCACCCACACGTGGACACGTACGCAAGGGCGGCCACGTACACACATGCGCACGGGAATGCACATGCACCATCGATACTTCGAAGTTCATTCCTTCATTCACGGCTACCTCGGAATAATAAAAGATGACCTTTGGGAGACCGCTTCTACCCAAATCTAATTATTTCTGGGTTTTTATTTATTCTGATGCGAGTGTTTACACTTCCCAGAGGCCCAATCCTGTCGCTCTGCCTGAGGTATGGGCTGACGCGGCCCCGTGTTTTTGTAATTGGCAAACGGTATGACACCACAGCGCGCCCCCCTCCTGGGAACGGAAGGGGACTCACTCTTGCAAAGTGCACCGTGCGATACAAGGAGGAACACGTCTGTTCGTTGTCTTCCCAGACAAGGTGGTAGGCTGCTGCTGTTCTGTCTCTGTGTCCTTCTGGGATGAGAACCGTCTTTCTGCTGGCCACGCGACGGCCACACGGAGTGGGCTGAGGCTGTAGCTGACTAACCCTTTACCTAGTTAGGCAATCGGGTCTCTGAGTCCCTCCTCTGGTGCTGGGCCGAGCATGCTCCTCATATGAACCATTCACTTAAGGCGGCGAGCAGAGAAGGCTCTCTATCGCTAATCTAAAAGAATGGGGTTCGTATATTTACAACTCACATTTGATTATGAAATTTAATTGGAAGGAAATTAAGACATTTATATTCCAAACAGCTCCTTGCCACCCAGCGCGCCCGGAGCCAGACAGGCACATCCATGACGAGCCATTTTTACCTCAAAACAGCACAGTCCAGTGAATTCTAAAACACAATTTTCTTACAAAAAATAAGCTTCACGAACTCCTGCTGTTCTCAAGCCAAGAGATTAACTTCAAGAACCAGAGCGCAGGCTTCTCTAGGGCGGCCTGGCCAAGGCACGCCCTGGTGGGAAAGGCCACGTCGGTTTCCCGCTTTGTCCAAACTCAAGGTGGCCTTCCTTGGGTCTGTGCTCAGGGCTCGGGGTGTGCGGACCCACTCAGAGGTTCCCTCTGCGGCACCTGCCCCCGGACACTGTGTGGCAAAGGGCCAGGGCATCTGCCTGCTCCTTGGCGCTGTTTGAAGTTGATCACGGGTCACTGGGTACAGACTGCCCAGGGCAGGCAGGGTGCTTCCATGCCTGGGATTTAAAGGCACACAAGAGGCAGGGTAAGAAAAATGTCTTGTCTCAGCCGCTCAATGGGCAGCTTGAGAAGGACAGTAAGACGTCCCCTAGGGGGCGATCGCGAGGGTCGAGGAGAAAGGGAAAGGGATGTGCCTGGAGAAGGCTGGCATCTGGTCGGGACACAGAGCATATGGCCTGAACAATGACATCGCCGGGAACAGGTGCACGTTCATTTGCTGCGCGAATGCACACGGGGAGGGATGATGCATGAACGCACGGGCCGGGCGGTTCCGCGTGTCTCGTGACCTTCATCGGCAGAACGCCACGTTTTCTCTTGCGACAAAATCACCTTCTTAATGGGAGAGGTGTGTCCACCTTGGCAGGAAAGGAATTCTTCTTGTCCAGGAAAATTCCATTCTGAAGCTTAAGAAAAATGTCCCCCAGCCATCAAAAGGAACTCAACTTCATCTGAAGCCCAAATAAGTCAACCACAGAAGCCCCGGTGTCTTCCCTCCCTGTGCCGGGAGGACAGCTCAATCCCCACGACTTAAGGAAAGATTCCGCAACAACACACCGCGCTGATAAAAACTCCTACTTCCTACCACCATGTTTACTTACCGGGAAATGATTTTTAGATCATTAGCGACTCCCTGGAAACCAGAGACGAGCTGAGGACCTTTTATTATTATTATTTTGCCACTGGCCATTCGTTTTTCTGATTTGTTTTATGAGTTTGATGGTCGGGTCCAAGACTCCGAATATCTTTCAAACCCAGCAGATTGATGGGAGAAAATTATTTCGGTGCAGTTCCTGGCCAATCGCGATGATGAATAGCACGGTAGGACAAACCTACCCCGACACGCATTTTTCAGCTGTGGCAGGGAAAAGGCTGAAAAATTACCAGCAGATTGCTTTGCGTAAGAACGCTCCCTCTTTCCGCTCTCCCCTCGAGGGATGGTCCTTCCGCAGGAAAAAGGCCCCTGCGCTCGGACACCCCCGCCCGGCGAGGGCGGCTCCAGAATGAACAGGGGATAAGAGCTCAGGTTAAGATTTGATTTTCTTCTTATACCCCAGTCTCCCATCCTTGCTTCCTCTCCGGGTCTTTTGCGTGTATCTTTTTAACCAGTGGGGACAAGTGTCTCTAGAAGGTATGTACACGGTCTGCCCGCAGCAGGCTTGCTCTGCACCACCCACTACGCGCAATCCAGTCCTTGACGGAGCCGGGGTCCGTTACCTTCTCTGCACATCTGCTCAGGTCTTTGCGTTTCAAATGCTGGAGGTGTCAGATATCCTCAGCGTGGAGTGACGCATCGAAGATGGAGGAAGTCCTCTGTCCTCTGCCAACCACCCTGATGGGACTGTCTCCGATTCTGTCAGCGGATACGCAGAGCTTCCGAGGGGTGAGGACACGGCTGCTGTCGGCTCAGCACAGAGCTAGGGCTGTTCCCGGCGGGAGCTTCAGAATAGGCACTTGGCAGACCCCGGGGAGTGGGGACCTGCCATCTGTTCCTGGTCTTACTTCACTCCGCCTTCTCCTCAGCCTTACATTTCGGGTCCCACTCTGGCCACCCCGGGGTGAAGGATCCAATGGGGAGGTTCTCATCTGTGGGTGGCTGTGCCCTCGGGGTCATCTGGCAGCAGACACTTCCAGCTGTCACGCAGAAGATGGGAGAACTTGTAGCTAGTAAGTAGAAGCCCGGATGCTGCTGCACCGTCCACACTGCCCGGGAGTGCCCAGGCTGAGCAACCCTGGGGTAATCGAACCCAGGTTCTGCAGACTTTGACATCCTCCAACATGAAGGCCAGTGTACCGTGCGTGGCACAACCGACGAAGCACGTGGGCTTTCCCAGCCTTCCTTCAGCCGCTCCAGGGAGGTCCTGCCCTGGGCCAACGCCGAGCTGGCCAGGATGCAGGCGCTAATGTCACGGAGTCCCTGCGCTGCGGTGAGGACCGTCCCTGACTGCACTCCTGGACTCGGCTCTGGGCCTCTCCCTTTCTTCCCCGCGGCTGAACCACCACCCTGTGGCCTGCAGTCCGATCTCAAAAGGAGCTAAGGATGGGGGGAGGTGTCCTGCCTCTCTGTTGGATGGACACCTGGACTCGGGGGTCAGGGAGACCAGGAGCCTGCTCCCGCCTGAATGTCTTACTTGCTGTGTGACAGTGAACAGGTGGCGTGACCTCTCTGAACCTGTTTCCTCCCTGATACGGGTCACATGGCACTGAAGGTGTTAGGTGTAGTCTTCATGGAGCCGGGCACCTGGAGCGGCACCACAGGTATCCATTCCCGTGGCATCTCCAAGAGGCGCTTTGTGATGTTTCTGTGCTGGGATCCCAGCTCCCCCGAGGCAGTCCCAACGGTCTGTCATCCGCTGGGCTGCTCACTCTCGCGGGCTCAGGTCCTGGCCTGGCTGCTCGGGCTGCAGTGCTCTGAGGCCAGGGCCCCCCACACCCCAGGTTCCTCCCCTCCCCCGTTTTCTTCCGGAACACATGGGGGAGGGGGGCGCGAATGCTAACTCAACAAACAATACACTTAACTCTGTTTCTCACCTTGAGTTCAACCCTCAGGAACGTGCTCCCATGTGCCTTAAACATCTGTGAATCTGCCTAATAGAAGGGAAAGCATTTACCCCCCGGCGCCCCGAGAGCAGCCCTTGGCCACCTGCATCTTTTTAGTCACATTTAATAATTCAGCCCGAGATGAATCTGCATGATGAACAAACATAAAGCCTCGTGATTTTATTTTCTTTCAGGATTTAAATACCAAAACAACGACCCTTGTTTTCATTTTCGGAGGTTGTGATCAAAACACAAAACTTGATTCCAGAATGAATAATGTCTTTAAAAAAAGGGGGGGGGAGGGTATTTTCAAAAGCACTCCCGATGGGAGCAAAGAAAAGAGTTGCACACACTGCCTCTGTACACGCAGGGAAACCTGTGCGTTTCACGGTCGGTGTTAACTCCCTGGACACAAGCCACACCTCGAAGATGTGTCCCTTTCGGTTTCCCCACGAAGGAGCGGGGCCCGCTGTCCCATGACGTGCACATGGCTGAACGTAGACAGCTTTGTTTCAGTTCCTTAACTTGGGCTCTGCACACTGATCTGGTCAGGAGCTAGACGCTCCAGTACGTCTTTAAGAGAAAACAGCAATTCCCTTGCATTCCCATAATGGATTAACCACGTCATCCTCAAAAAATAGTAAAAACCCAAACCAGAGCGACCGCATTCGGAACACCATCTGCCGGGGAAGGGGAGCCGGGCGTGTGAGATGACAATTTGCAAAGCAGAAGAGGCGCGCCGCGGGGTTTCTTGATGAACGTAGTAAAACAGGTTTGTTTAACGGGGGAAACACGCCGTACGATCCAAAGCAGAGCGAGCGTGTCCCACGTGGAAAAGGCAGCGGGCTTTAATGTCGGGGAAGCATTTCGAGCTGTGCCCACCGGCGATGCCCTGCCCGGCTGCTTCCCCTTAACCAGCGTGGGCGGCCTCACCTGCTTGAAAAGAAGTGGGAAGCAGGCAGTCATCCTCTGGGCTGACGCGGGTGCCTTTCTGTCGCGCTGACGCCTCTGTTGATGTTTCTCAATGCAGGAACCATGGTCAGTAAGGACACCGGCAAATGCGCACTCACGGCGTCCGAGAGCGAAGTGGAACCCGCCGCCTGCCTGGCCCTGGAGATGAAATACGCCCTGGATCCCAACCGGCAGATTAAGAAACGGAACAAGGCTTTGCAGGTGCGGTTTAAGGACATCTGCGAGGCGCAGAGCGAGCAGCTCCCCGCGGGCCCGGCGGCCGAGAAGCGCGAGGCCAGGCCCGTGTCCTGCAGAGCAGCGTACCGCAAGTACATGACGGTGCCCGCGCGGAGGTCCATCCCCAACGTCACCAAGAGCACCGGCGTGCAGACCTCGCCGGACCTTAAAAAGTGTTACCAGACGTTCCCTCTGGACCGCAAAAAGGGGAATCTCAAAGGTGTCCCAGCCACGGATGCCTTCAAAGGTCAGAACAACGGGTTTGTGATAGATGCGAAGGAGAGGAGCGAGGAAGGGCCCGGGGAGGAGGCCGGGCCGTGGGCTGCGGGCCGGGCGCAGAGGACTGCGGCCCTGGTTTTCCACTCCCACGCGAACGCGCTGGACCAGCCGGCCGGGGTCCCCTGTGCAGAGCCCTGCAGAAACCCCGACATGCACAGCTGTCCGGACAAACCTCTCCACAACGCCACCCGGCCTCCCTCCCGAGAGCCCAGCCACCAGCTGCACTGGACAGCAAAGCAGGACACGGCCGCTCGGGACACCGAGGAGCCCGCTCCCTCGGCCCACGGCAGGGTGTTCAAAACGGAGGTGGCCGCCGATGACGCTCCCGCCCCCGGCGCAAAGGCCCCTGAACCTGCCTTGTCAAACTCTGCGGCCGTGAGCCAGTGGTCCCTCTGCCCCACGGCCGAGGAGGAGCGGAGCAGGGCCGCCCACCTCAACGGGCTCCAGGCGCCCCCGACGCAGTGCCTGTCCCCCGAATGTAGTGACCAGCCCCTGCAGACTCCGGCCCCCGCTGGGCAGGAGCACCAGCCCTGTCCGCCAGGGGCTGCTGTGGGTGAAGAGTGCCAACAGATTGTGCCTCGAACGGAAGTGCTGGACCTCAGAGCGCAGCTTCAGATGATGGAGAACTTGATCAGCTCCAGCCAGGAGACCATCAAAGTGCTCTTGGGGGTCATCCAGGAGCTGGAGAAAGGAGAAGCCCACCGGGAAGGGTATGTATGATCCCGTTTTCTATGATGCTCTGCAGACGCATCACCCCGCGGTCCACCTGCGGCCACCCCACCCGCATCCATCATGAGACTAACGCTACCCTTTCTGTGAACAGTAGTACAGTCTGAGCACAGGGCAAGCCCAAAGGGTCACAGGTGGCTTCCTGATGCTAGACTTCACTGCATAAGTGCCTTCCAGGTGACTTCCTGGTTAGCCCTCCTCTGTCCGGCCTGGGGATCCATCCATACTTCCATTTGGAATGAACTGATGGCTCTTTTACTTTTATGTCCAAAGACCAAAGGTTTATATCGACGAAGTATAATAGCTATGCCTGTCCGAAAGAGCTAATCTACACAGAAGTTGCTAGCCTCTTAGGAATCGTATTACGAGGGAGAAAAGAAAGAATTCAGATTACATGTTGAAAAGTAAATGCTGACTCACTTACATTAAATTAGAACAGTGCTGATGTTCAGGGCTGTGCAGGTTTTTATACAAGAGTCAGTGTGTTTTCCTTTTCTTACCGGGACCCACAGAAGCAGCGCCAGGCCTGGGCCCAGACTGCATGCGATTAGGAGAGAGAGACTTTGCCACACGCTGTCCTGTATGACCAGCGGGGCCGTAGAGGGAGTCCTACCAAGTTAACAGCCGAACGGCCTGGCGTTGATAACAGATGCTGAACCCCGTCTCCCACGTTCCGGACTTGGAACTGTGCACCAGCACATGTGGAAACAAATGGAGGAAAGCTAGCACACGTTGGCCTTGAGCCTCTTAGCGAGGCAGGCTCGTGGGGGTCAGGGGCACCCCACTGATACAAACAGCCAGCACTGCTCGGGCCTTTGCCTGGCGGCCAGGCCTCCTCGCTCCCACTCCGGGTGGGGACTGGCTGGACCCCTTCCAGCCCATGTTTGGCACAGGGCATTTGAGGCTGGTTCCCTGTCACCTCCGGGGATCAGCAGGCTCACCCTGTGGGCCCCGAGCCAGCACGAAAGCGAGCCAGGAAATGCAGTGTCAGGGCAGCGGAACCCCGGGCCCAGCCTGCTCCGGAGGGCTGCCGTGGCCGGGTTCCAGGGTGCCCGCTGCGGCAGGAGGGGGAACAGCCTCTGTCTGCGCTCCCAGGAAGCAGGCGAGGCTGAGGCCCGGCCCCCAGGCAGGACGCCAGGTGCAGCACCCTTGGCTTCTGGCTTCCCCCGCTTAGTGCGGGAGGCCCAGCTCCAAAAGGGGGTCATTCTCAATGACCCCCACGTCCGGTTGACATAGGAGGGTTTGGAGTTGCTAGCAGTGAGCACAACGAGTCGCCATCTAACGGAGATTAAGGGGAACCTGGCATTACAGAGTGTTCCCAAAGGCCGCGTTCGGTCTTGGGCTCACATCTCCATCTTCATCCCATTTCGGTCATGTGGGGCATACACACCCCAAAGCTCACACTGCAAGGGGTCCATGGGGCTGTCCATCAGCAGGACCACATTCCCACAGAAAGGAGAAAAGCCGAAAGAGGGCCTTGATCACTGACCTGGATGTTGCCGGTAGTGACTCCACCAGACAGCAGGATAGAAAGATACCAACATGACCAGTGAGAAAAATCAAACCCTCCCGATGGCGTCAGGCCAGATGTGTATGCTAATATGCGTGCTTACTGGGGATTTGCCCGAACACAGTCGTGCACAGGCAGGACACCCACGGACACCCATGACGGGGCGGCCGCGCTGTGCGTAGGCTTCTTCTTGCACTGTGAGCACGGGAGTGGGGTTCGTTGTCAGCAAGACCCTCTGAGGCCGCATCGGTCCCCGGAGTGGCTGTGGTCGGTGAGACGTGTGCAGGGGGGAGTTCTCGGGCAAGGGCAGCATCTCTGCGTGCCTCGTGTATTTCCCTGGAAGGTGGAGGTAATCATCCGCCCTGCCGCTGGAGGGCCAGGTGTGCGGGGACCTTCTGATTGTTTGGCTGTGCCAGGAGCGGCTGAATGGGCTGCCGGCTGCCAGTGGAGTGAGTGTGGGCATGCTGGGCAGTGATGGGGTCTGGGGAACACACGGAGGCCCCTCCCGAGTCCAGGGTGAGGAGTGCATTCCCATGCTGTCTGCCCCCCGCTACCATCCACAGCCGTCCCGAAAGCCCGGAGCTGCTCTGCCCACTCCAGTGGTCACTGGCCACACGTGGTCGTGGAATTCAAACTCAAATGAATTCCAATGGAAAATTCACTTCATCCACGGCTCTGGCCACGTTTCGGGCGCTCAGAGCCACGGCCTGCAGAACACTTCCATCTTTAGGCAGACACCTTCCCCTGCAACCCCAAAACAAGGCAGAGCGCCCGGCTCCTGACACCCGAGACTGGGCTCCACAGACAAGGCGGAGGGCGACTTCACTTTTAAATCCATCCCTAGTTCCGGCACAGCCTGCACAGACGGGCTCCCACGGTCGTTCCTAAGACCTGCGTTCCCAGCAGCCTCTGAGCCCTCTGCCCTCAGGTAACAAAAAAGCAAGTGGTTTCAAAACCAAGGCTACCTTGGAGGCGGCCCCTCCTGCTCAGTGCCCAGGGTCATGAATCTGACCTTCAGATTTCAATTCCATACCACTCTTCCAAGTCAGAATACAGGAGAGGACACTGGCCTCGGGGGCAAGCTCGCTTCGTCCCCTTCCCAGGCGTCTGTGCCCAGCTGAGTCCCGGGGGTAGGGAGACAGGGGTGCTGATACATCTTTAACAACTGGCTCTGGGGTGGGGGGCGGAGCATTTGCTGATTCCTCGGGGTAAATATCTCCACTGTGTCCCATTTCAATTAGCTCACAAAATCCTGAACATTTAACACCCTGGTCCTCTGAGCACAGGGCCTGAGACATGTTCCCAGACTGTCACTTGCACGGGTGGGGAACACCTGGCCCAGGGGTCGTATAAGGCCTTCAGAATCAATACCAGCTAACATCACAGGCCTCACCAATGTAGCCTAACCAAATAGAGCAGGCTAATTTTTTTTTTTTATCCTCACCCAAGGACATTTTTCCATTTTTTGTTCAGATAGAGCGGGAGGGAGAGAGAGGAAGAGAGAGAGAGAGAAACATCGATGTGAAGGGACACATCGAGTGGCTGCCACCCGCACGACCAACCAGGGCCGGGGACAAACTGCAACCGAGGTACATGCCCTTAGCGGGAACCGAACCCGGATCTCTCTGGACCGCAGGCTGACGCTCCAACCGGTGAGCCAAACCGGCCAGGGCATAGAGCAGGCTAATTTTTAAGTTGATAATTCTGTATGGCTCACAAAGGATGTTATAAATATCCAAATGGCCTTTGGCAGAAAAACAGGTTCCCCACCCCTCAGAAGGAAGAATCACCAGGAACTGTTTTGTGTGTTTAATCTGAGCTGGGAAATAGATGCTTTCATTGCATCTCCTGGTAGAAAACGAGAAACTCACCCTACATGATGTAGATTATTACACAGTCATGATGTAACGTGATGGAGAATTTCATGGCCCAGTAAAAACATCCATGGAGTTTTTCTTGGAAGATATTCTCAAGTTTATAGTAAGAGTAGAGAAGGCTCGGAAGCCAGGGGAAATCTTTCTCCCCCCGCCCACCCCGCCCCTAGCACGGAGGACCTGCTTGGTACAGAATTTGAGCTGCATTACGAACGGCCCGGGAGGCCGGTGTCTGGCGTGCACAGTGGAGCCCAGGACTTTGAACCCAGTGACACACCTGCCCCGAATCCACATGCACAGCAGTGTCGAGACAGGTCTGGGGGGGCCGCAGTCTTGCTCTTGTTAGATGGAGGGGAGGCAGCGCTCTTGGGCCGGGGACGATTCCTGATCTCTGAAGCACAGCAAACGTCTCCGCACTCCAGGTGCTAACGCAGCCCCACCACGGGTTCTGTGCGCACCGCGTGCCGAGTGTGTGAGCAGCTCCCTGCAGGACCTCTGACAGTGCACGGGAGTGCGGGTCAGCAACCATGACCAGTTCGGGCGTCCCCAGGACACCTGGCAGGAGAGACTCTTCCAGGAGCCGCATTCACTCTGTAGAAGTCCCAGAGGCCTCCGCAGGCGCGTGCTCTCCTGGGGTGAGCGCCGCAGTCTGAGAGTCCAGTTCTCTTCCGTCCCATCGGGGCGGGAGAGGCAGAAAGGTGACGTGGACACAGCCCCCAGCAGGAGCACGTGGGCACCGAGTAAGGACCCGCCCGAACCCGGCGTTTCAGCAGGATGCCCTCTGCAAGCGGGCAGATGTGGGACGTAGGCAGCAGCACGGCTCTGAGGCCTGGGAAGCTGGGGCAGGTCACTGAAACCGCTCGCTCCACGTGGCTCAGGCGGCTGGCAGGGGCGCCAGGACCGGCCTGCTGGGTCCGCGGCGCTGGGTGCTCTGCTCCTCCCTTCCCAGGGAGCTCGGGGAACACAGGCTCCCCGCAGAAGTCACTAATGTGGTCGCTGAGGCTGCAAAGCCAGCAAGTGGGGCACGGAGTTAAAACCCAACTGACTCCTGTCATCGCCGTAACGCTCCAGAGCAGACGACTAGCTGGGCAGGGGACTCAGAACCCCGGCTGCTGGCCTGTCTCGTGGTGACGCTCAGTGACGGGTTCTCCGGTATTCCGGGAAGACCCGGCGACGACGGGGGAGGCGTGACTCAGGCGGTCAGGCAGGAGGGCAGGGCCTGCCGTGGCCCGAGCGAAGCAGACTCCGTCCCTGGCCAGGCTCCCCCAGCACCCGCCAGGTGGTAGCTACAGGCTCTCCGGCGTGGGGGGAGGAGGCAGGAGCAGCAGAACGCTGGCCACGTGGAGGCCCGAGGCGTGAGGAACAGGCAGAATGAATCACGCAGCGTGGGGCTCTGTGGCTGTTCCGAGTCAGGACAAATGTGATACTGTCACTTTGAAGAAAATCCTAAACAACCGACCAACCCACGGAGGCCAGCAGCTCACAGGAAGGTCTGCAAGTCCGCTTCCCAGGGCCCTGCTCAACCTCACCGGGAAGGGCATTTCCCTGGCGGAGGCCGGGTCTCCGAGTCCAGAAACCACGGTGGGAGGAAATACAA